TGGAATGGAAGCAGGGCTGCCAGGATTAGAACCAGTGTCCATATGGGATTCCACACGTCCACAGCGAGGAGTTTAGCCGCAAGGCTACTGCGCTGGACCCCTGTAATGATCTTTTATAGATGTAATTAAAGTCTAAAATTAGTTGATTTTAAGATTATTCACTAGATGATGGAAATTTCAATTTATTAAACGTACTTGAGAACACAACTAGGTTTTCCCTTGAGAAGAAATTCTGCCTGCAGGCAGCAGTGGCAGCTCCCACAGCAAGAGCTGCAGAGGTCAGAGCTATGAATTTCAGACTTGCCTAACCAACCTCCCAAACTGCAGAAGCTTAATTCCTTGTACCAAATCTCTAAAGACACACATTCCACTCACTCCTTTTCTCTGGCTGAACTTTAACTGATTAAAAACCTCACTCGGTTTTACATTTTTATTCTGGTTTTACTTACTTGAAGAGCAGAGACACAGAGAGATCTTTCTTACATTTGCTCCCCACAAGCCTGCAATAGCTGAGCTGGCCAGACGGGAGGCAGGGCTCGGACTCAGCCTGGGCTTCTCATGTGTGGGTGGCAGGCACCCAAGCACTCAGCCATTACTTACTGCCTCCCACAGAGGGTGCTGGCAGCAAGCTGGAATCTAGGGCAGGGTTTGGACTTGTACCAGGTGTTCTGTCCCACGGGGCCTCTTCACCACTTCACTAAATCCCTACCTCTGTTTGGCAGATTCTACAAGATACTGGAAGGGAATAAAAAGAGGGAGAGGAAGTAGATACTTGATTATCAAAGCACTCACTTTAGCTTTCCTCTCTAAAATTACGGAGATGAACAGATGACAGAAATCACAGAACCAGTTAAATAAGGAACTCTATGTGAAGCTAAATTGAGATTCAGCCTACAAACTGTTGACAAATCCATATATATGGTCATAAAGATAAAACCTGGAGCAGTAACTGCTTATTTTCATTGACTAAAGTGAAAAGCAACTGGTTCTTTAAAATATACTTTATAACTTAATGTTGAGAAAACGATGGCCTGTGAATTTTTTTCTTTTTTTAATTTGGGGGCAGTAAGAGATCCTATCAGTGATTTCCACCCCCCCAAATGCTGGGCAAAAGCCAGGATGTGGGAAGTCAACACAGGGCTGCCATGTCCGTGGCAGCAGCTGCCTCCCAGAGTCTCCAGCAGGAAGCTGAGCCAGTATCTGGAATTCACACCAAATCCTGGTATTCCAATATGCTATCTGAGCATCTTAATCACTGAGCACCAAACACTCACTCCAGCTTGTAAATCTTTGTTAGAGATAGAAATCTTCAGATAGAGAATATGCAGAAATCATGATACTTCAAATGCAATCAAGCATCAAGTTAAGGGGTCCCCCCTTAAGTACTGTAACCCTGTCAATTTAAGTATTTGCAGCCCTGTGAATTTGTTCTATATTATGTGTTATATCCCTTGTGATACAAGAGACGATTAAAAAAAAGACCCTGAAAATCGCTAAAGTGAAAAAAATTTGGAGCATCAGTCTGCCTGTGATCAAGGTCTGTGGAGACTGCCCTCGGCAGCCAATAGCATGTCTACTGGTCGTTAAACGGGGGAATCCCACAAAGAATTCTGGTATACATATGAGTGTCAACATACTTGGCTACAAGTAAGAAGAAAGAGTGGTAGCTGATATGAAATTAATTCATCTCTAGAGGGAATGACTCTGTTGCTAGGAAGTACACATGGTTCCAAGAAATGATATGTCCCAGACAAAGAGGTACCTATGACCCGAGGGAATCACTGTATGGGGAACATAAGCCATTCTGAGTGGGAAAGCTGTAAAAATATTACGTCCATATGAGAAAAATGTTCTCAGTGCAAAACACTGAGTTCTGTTCTGGAGAGGGAACATCAACATCATAAAAAGATAAGTTGGTCATTTAACACCTTAAAAAAATAATACTAGCACTGTTCTATACTTGGACATTCTGGGAATCTGCCTAGGTTTTTACAGAAATCCGATACTGATGTAAAGCCGATTGCACAAGGATCGCTGGGACTGACATCCAAGACAGGGGAAGAGGACTGAGTAGGAGGAACTGGCACAGTGTGGGGCGGAGCAGAGCAGGGCTCGGCCAGCTTCCTAGCAAACTGTGAAGTAGTCAGCCCCCAAGAAAGCTCAGTGCTGGGCAGACCCAGGTTTGAGTCTTGCGCCACTGCCTTGTTCAGGGAAAGCTTGGTGCCACTCTAGAAACAGCACCACCTCGGGCTGAAACCTAATGATGACCCTGGCAAAGCTAACAGCTAGAAATGACTGGCTAGCCCCATTTGTCGAAGCAGGGCAAAATGCGCTTTTCTGAAAGTGATCTGGGTGTAGATATTTGGTGTACTGATGAAGACACTTTGGGGAATGCCTGGGTTTGAGTCCAACTCTGCCTCTGCTTCAGCGTCATGCTAATGCACGCCTGGGAGGCAGCAGCTGATGGCTGCAGTGGGAGGGCTGCTTCTCCCCAGGAAGAATTGAGTTCCGAAGGCTCACATTTCGGCTTGGTACAGCAGCCTGGCTGGCTGTTGTGGTTATTTGAGGAATGAACCAGTAGATGGAAGAGCTCTTGTTTGTCTTTCAAATAGATAAAAAATTGTATTTAAAAAAAGAAAAAAGAGAAAGGAAATATAGCAACTTACTTTCATGTTTTCCTCAATACTGCAATGTAATATAAATAGCATTCTGAGATGTTGTGTCTCTGAAGCTGAAAACTGATTACATCAGAACAAAGGATGGTGGTTTTATTCTTCAACATTTGGAAATTCTTAAGTTAGCCAATTCTTTTTTTTTTAAAGATTATTATTATTATTATTATTTTAGAAAGTCAGACACACAGAGAGAAGGAGAGACAGAGAGGAACATCTTCCGTCTGATGATTCACTCCCCAAGTGGCCGGAACAGCCAGAGCTGAGCTGATCTGAAGTCAGGAGCCAGGAACCTCCTCTGGGTTTACCACACCGGTTCACGGTCCCAAGGCTGGGCTGTTCCCCACTGCCTTTCCAGGCCACAAACAGGGAGCTGGATGGGACGCGGGGCTTTTGGGGTTAGAACTGGCACCCATTTGGGATACCAGCGCATTCTGGGCAAGGACTTCAGCCACTGGGCTACTGCACTTGGCCAATACAGTAACCTCTTATCAGCCTGGCAGTCCTCTCTACTGCTAGATGCAATGAGATATCAAAAATAGGGAGAACTGAATAATGCTTGAGGAAAACTATGAGGAAGGCTTACCTTTCTTAATTGATGATCTCTCAAAGAATTTCTATCTTCATTGGATTTTGTCATTTAACCAGCGTGTCCTTATTCATCACGGGAATCTTCCTCTGGATATTCATGAGGGAAATAGAGGGGGTGGGGACTCCAGGTCCCCCTCCTCTATCCCTGTAGGGGGTTTCAGTGTAAGATTATTTAGGGAAAAATAAAAAAAAAAGAGTTCAGCTATCTTAAAAAAGATATCTAGGCCAGATCATGTGGGATCATACCGCGCAGATTTTAGAAAGCGAGTCTTTGTGTTAAAGGGGACTTTTCCTTGCTCTGTCACACTCATGTACTTGCTAAGGAAACATGCTCTGTGGCCTGCATGCCACACACATACAGTAGGTCATGTGTGGGCACTTAGACTGTGAGAGCACTACAATGCCCCACACGAAGGGATTCCTTACTGTTCAAGCTTCGATGTTGCTGGTTTTAGGACTGTGAAGATACAGTCCTACCTCATTTTATAACTTCTTTCTACCCTTCCAGTAACCGAAGAGACCTTTGTGTGAATGCACTGCAGAGTCTACTGGATTCTGAAATGTCTTACTCACCAGAAAAAAGACTTTTTAAATCTTTTAAATTATTTCACCAAGAATTTTTAAAATTGCTTAGGAGGCAGAGAGACAGGAATGGATAGCTCTGATCTGTTATGCCCTCACTGGCTGGATTGGCTCAGAGCAAAGTGAGGAGCCAGTGAATTATTGGGATTTCCCATGCGAGTGCAGGAACCACCTCCTACAGCTACAGTGGAGAGCAGGAGCAGTCAGGAGCTGGAGCAGGGCATCGAACCCAGCCACTTCCCTGGGGGACGCACTGCTAGGCTACGCTACTTTTCACACCGGAAGTTAAAAATGTGATTATTATCTATTTTAAAAGGAGAGCATGACTCTTCCACGTTCTGGTTCACTTTCCAAATGGCCACGTAACCAGTGCTGGGCCAGGCTGAAGCCAGGAGCCAGGAACTCGGTGTCTCAGGTGTCCAACAAGAGGGCCAAGACTCCAGCAGACATGGGACGTGGACTTCCCAAGCCAGGGTTAACCCATTCTGTCACAGCGCAGACCCCTCGCATACAGGATTCCTGGGGTAGTGAAAACATCCTTTACGCAGTGTAATACACATTGGTCCAAATCTCTAGCATGTATAACCCTACTATAAGCTGTGGACGTGGGGTGATAAGGATGTGCTCCTGTGGGTTTATCAGGGATATGGACACTGGGGAAAATGTGTGTGCTGGGAAAGGGGGACATGGAGGAGACCTAGGGGATATCGCTGTACCTTCCCTTCAATTTTGCTGTCAATCTGAAGCTGCTTTAACAAGTCTTTGGAAGAAAAAAAAAAAGCGAACTCTTACCTCACTAACAATTTTGAACCAGCGTTTTAGGAATGTCACAGAACCAGGTCTCCTTGCGATGTCCTAGAACAGGTAATAATGGGAAGTGTTGGGTAGACAGGCCACCTGTGCTCAGGTGTTCTAAGAACGGCCCCTCCCGCTCCGACATCTGTCTCTGTGGCGTGATTGCGCACTGGCTCATCCCAGCGCGAAATCTGTGCACACGGAAAAGGCCAATTACGAACGTGGATTTTCCTCCTCCTGCTTCTGTTCCTTTCGCCACCGCCCACTCCCGACAAGCTGACGACGGAGACAGCTCCCCGGGACCAGCCTTACTTTTCCATCTCCTCCCACCCAGCGACAGCCCTCCCACTCGCTGCGCGCATGGGCCGCTGGCGGACGCAGCGAGCATGCGCGAGCGTGCCGAGCCTGCGCAGAGGCGCGCGCGGCTGCCCGGAGCTGCTCCGGCCGTCGGCGAGCGACGCGGACGTCTCTGCGGCTGCTGTGGGAGCGACAGGAAGTGAGGCGGCTCCGCCGGGCGACCGCAGCGGCCGAGGGCGAGGCGGAAGGGGCGCTGCGGCGGCGACGTCGGCGGCGGCGGCGGGGGTGGAGGTCGAGCGAGCGGAGCGGCGGGGCGAGCTGCCGGCTCGGAAGCCGGATCCCGAGCCGGGCGGGATGGATCATCACCAGCTGGCGACTGGCCGCTACCAGGTGGTGAGTGCCCGGGCTCCGGGGCTCCGGGAGTCTGGGGTTCTGGGGATCCGGGGGTCTCGGGGTCCCGGGGACCCTCTCCCGAGGTGATTCCGGAGGGGACGTGCGGGCCCCTTTTCAGGGTGGTGTTGTGGCCTTTCTGTCCTGGGCTGTCCGCCTCAAGGCGCTGAGTTTGGACCCCGCTTGCCTTTGGGGCCCCGAGTCTCTTCCCTGGCCCTCACCCGCACCTTGGGTCCTCCTCCGGAGAGTCACGTTCCTTCACACACGTCCAAAGGCGTTAGCATTGCTTTATTTTCTGACTCAGTGGCTCCCGAGACGTTCTGTTCCATCGCGTCCTGGAAATGGGGCTGGGTTCACGGACCTGCCCAGGGAGCTTTCGGCGTCATAAATGGGATGGGTGGGAAGAGAGGTGAGCCCCGTGTAGGGTGGGGGACGTGGCTTGGGTGTCTACGTGCGTTAGGAGTCAGGGAGCTGGAGAGAGGAGTTGTAGTAGGGATCTGGTCTCTGCTCTAGTTAACCTTGATATGTTCCTTTTCCATTATGTTAGTATTGAAGGTGAAGCCCCCCCCCATGGGACAGCAACACAGTCTCATTAGAAACAAATTATAATCTTGTTTGAAAAATTTGTTTTCATTTAGTGCAAGATTTTCTGCCTTACACCTTAAAATATGTGAGATGTGTTTTTCCTGTGACAAAATTCTTTTCCTTTTTTTTTGCCCCTTTGGTGTTTTCATTCTGTAGAGTTGTTTGGGACATACGTATCGTAAACCCTGTTTGAAAATGGACTTGAAAATGGTTTCTTCTTTTGAAGCGGGGTCGGCATACTCTACAAACTTTGAGTTGTTAATATAGTTAAACTTATTTACTGAGGCTGAGGGGAAAAGCACCATGAACTGCTGATGGTGGACTTCAAGGTTTCCTTTCACAATGTACGTGTGTTGTCCCAGATTGTACCCCTAAAATCCTTTTGCAGACTTACTGTGTACTGAGGGTTTCTATTAATAAGTACATTTTGACAATATGAAGGATGTTGAAGTATGAGGTCTCACTGTGTAATTTTGCACTTTTATAAAGCAGGGGATGTTCCTTTTGAGATGTGCTTTACATCTTGAAAAACCTCCAAGTTACCCGTGCTGTGAATGTTATGAAAATATTTTTGCTGCCAACAAGGAAGACATTTTTATGTTGTCAGTATGTATGCTTGTGGCAATTTCACTGTTTTGAAAGTATTCTTACTCTTAATAAATAGTAGCAAAAAATAAAACGTGGACGATACATGTTGAATCCTGGTATCGGTTTGACCTGTTTCATCCCTGTCTTATGTTTCCCTTCATGGTCTAAGCTGACTTGAGTAGTTTCTCTATGGGTGTTTTTGCTAATTGGACTCAACCTTGTTCTCATACTCAAATTACTCCTCAAAACACTTTTCATGGGTGTAATTGTATCTTAAAAATAAGCGTTCTACAAGTATCATCACATATTTCAAGACATGTGGGCAGTGTCACATTTTCAAAGAGAAGTGGTGTCCTAGCAGGTTGGGTGGAGGCCTTTCTTGAGTACAGAGGGCAGAAATCAATCCCCAAGGCACTAGTCAACTGCAGCAGAAGGGATCCGATTGCCCTTGTTTCCCTTAGACGGCAGAATGGTAGAGAATTTTAGCACAGTTTACATTTGGATTTTGGTTTCAGTGATTTTGGCTATGTAACATAATTCTTGTTAGTTTCATTGAGGATGTTTGATAGCCTTGTGTATCCCGGAGAGGGCTGCTGAACTGAAGTTGGCAGTTGTCTTTTTAACTGAGGCTCAATTCCATCTCTGCCTCATAGGGTCATGTGATGAACACAAACATTTTGTGGCTGTCTTTGTTTTTGTTTTGAAAACTCTGCACAGATAAATGACTGGAGCAGCCAGCTTCATTTTGTTGATCTGTAGGAGATAGACAACTATATGTAGGGCAAAATGATGTGCGGTCATAATTGAAAGGTTGCTTAAAGAGTTCAAATTCAGTTCTCTAGTTTGAAAACCTACCAGGGATGCCAGGAACACCAGAGCGGCTCACTACCCTTAACTACCCTTAACCAGTGGACAGGCTACACCTGAAAGCTGCTTTTTTTTTTTTTTTTTTTTTTGCTCACTTCTTTGCTTTCGTTGGTAAAGGGGCCCTATCTGTGAAGCAGTGGGTAATGGTATAAGAGCTTCCTTGTTGCTCTTCTAACTTAAGGGGAAAAAAGACTAAATATGATATAGACTTCTCATTGTGTTATGGGAATTTTTTAAAAAGGATTTATTTTTGTTGGAAAATCAGATAAAAGAGGAAGATCTTCTGTTCACTGATTCATTCCCCAAGTGGCCGCAACGGCTGCTGCTGCGCCAATCTAAAGCCAGGACCCCCAAGGCTCTTCCAGGTCTTCAACATGGATGCAGGGTCCCAGTGCTTTGGGCCGTCCTCGACAAGCAGGGCTACGAGCAGGGAGCTGGATGGGAAGCGGAGACCCCTGGGATCAGCGCCCATATGGGATCCTGGTACATGCAAGGCAAGGACTTTAGCTGCTAGGCTAACTCACTGCTTAGTACTGGAGCAGAGTTTCATGGCCAAAGTATAAGGTAGTCAGATGTGGCTTGCAGCTGTTATACTACATTCTACCTTTGATGTTCTCTTTTTCAAGGATGATTTATGTACCTGCACCAAGCTGACTACTAAGATTTAAAGTATTCTGTGTATAAGTTAAATGGGCAGTAGGGTTTATAACAGTAGTTTACCAGGCTGTATTCCAGGGTGATAAAAGGTGTTCTGGTAGGATTTACAGCATATATTAACATGTTAGAACAAAGGGAAACTCTTTAGTAATGACATTGATTTGGATTTGTTTACCCTGGCTCTAATCTTTGACCAACGACCAAAGTTTTTGTGGTTTTGCGTAGGCTTTTTTTTTTTGCCCTCTTATTTTGTTTCTCTCTCTTTCCTTTCTTCGTTACTTGTTTATTTCTTAATTTATTTTTATTATCTGGTGGGTCACTCCCCAAATGACTGCAGCACCCATAGCTGAGCCGATTGGGAGCAAGGAGCCGGGCGATTTGTCCTGGTCTCCCACCTTAGTGCAGGGTGCAAAGGCTTTGGGCTGTCCTCTACCGCTTTCCCAGGCCGTAAGGAGAGAGCTGGATTGCAAGTGGAGCAGCTGGGACTAGCGCCCATGAGAGTGCCCACACTGCAAGGGGAGGGCGAGGGTGTTAATGCCACTGTGCCGAAACACCCCCAGCCTCCTTTATTTTTAAAATTTTAAGATTATATTAACTGTATTGAAATGTTTGTTTTCAGAACGTAATTTGAAATCCATAATTTTGATGTTATTTTTCATACTATTAAGGTGTGGATATGTTGCTCTTGTTTCTGGAGTGTTTACGTTTTTTTGGAAATGAACCCTAACAATTAGCTGATTAAAACCAAGCTTGAAAGTCATTCAGGTTGTGTGTTTGGGAATCTGTGAAACATCAGTTAAAGTCTGTTTCTTCATATTAGCATATACCTCACTGTGGATTATTGTGGGAGTTAAGTAACATAAAATTTAGAGACTGATTCATGATAAGTAAGAACTCTGTAAACTGACAAGTTTGTTAATGTTTGCCTGATGGCAGAGAACCTGGGACTCTCAGGTCACAGTTGACATTAGTCACAGCTGGACAAGCAGCCTGAACATCAGCATATTTGTGTAGGTTTTCGCAAGTGTCACCGGTCGAGTGAGTGTTCACATGGGCTTGTGTACTGGCGTTCTGTCACGTCTGAGAGACTCAGGGTCTAGGGTGCAGGCAGCACACTAGCAAGCAACAAGCTGGCTAGTTCTTTCTCCTTGGGAGGGAGGTTACGTGCTGTGGTTGCCTTAATCTTTTTTGCTTATGTTACTTATTGCAAGAATCAGCCCAGTATCAGGAAGTGGCAAGCTTTGTAGATTAGCACACTCAGCAAGAATGCATAGGAACACACAGCTGCAAGGCAGACTGCCTCACCTAAGAGAACATATTTTGGATTAGGGGCATCTGTACAAAGTTGAAGAAAAATTTTTGGAAAAATACTTCATTCTTCATGGAAAAAATAACCTTGGACCTAAAATCTTTTTTTTTTTTTTTCAAAAAATAAGCTTATCTTTTAATTACATTTTCCACAAACATGAAATATCCTCATATACAGTATTTTTTCCCAGAGGTTGTGAATTCCTTTCATTTTTTTCATTCTTGTTACGTTACATTACATTATGTTTTCTTATGTTATAATACGTTACATTATGTTACATTCAGTTATCTGGAAGGCAGAGTTAAAGAGGGAGAGAGAGATCTTTCATCTACTGGTTCACGTCCTAGATGGCCACAGCTGTGGGGGCTGGTCCAGGCTGAAGCCAGGAGCTTCATCCAGATCTATGTGGGTGCATGGGCCCGGGCCCTAAGACATGGGACATCCTGTGTCGTTTTCCCAGGCTCACCGGTAGAGGGATGGATGGAAAGTGGAGCAGTGAGAACGAACTGGTGCCCGTAAGAGTTGCCAGCATTGCAGGCAGTGGTTTACCTTGTGATACCACAGTGCCAACCCCAAGCACTGGGGTCTTTTACCTTGTGCTGATTATCACCTTTTATTGGCTAGCCTGATCGCATTGATATCACTTCTTTGTTATCTTTGAATTGATCAGTAAGCTTAAATTTGGTTTATTTTTCTACCATATTTCTTGTTTTATACCCAGTTACATAGTTTAACAGGTACTTTTCTTATCTTGCTTGATTTCCTTATCATATTGACACTGTGGACATTCTTGAAATTTCTTCTTTATTCTGATACTAAGAAAACCTTTTACCTCTCTTTTTAAAAAATTTCAAATATTTATTTGAAAGGCAGAGCAACAGAGAGGGTGCAGATGTCATCATTGGCTGGTTCACACCCCAAAAGCCTGCGACAGCCAAGTCTGAACCAGGCTGATTCTAGGAGCCAGGAACTCCCTCTTGGTTTATCACATGGATGT